CTCTTATTAACTCCCACCAACAGCGTTGGTGACATTATAACTTTTCTCTTTCTTGTAACCAAGTACTTTTTCTCTCTCGATGACAATTTAATTGAAAATTTCCTTTTTAGGGATTTGTCCTACAACAAACTCCGGTTCATCCCAGATGGAGCTTTTTCTGGCTGCAAGCTGCTAGTAAAATTGTGAGTTAAATTGTGCACCCTTTCTCTTTTTCATATGATAATCATAGAAAGTGAAGATCGTAAATGTTAAGCGAGGTGTTTAAGTAAAGAAGATGTCGTTCAGTGAATGACAGGCATACACATGGGCGGAGAAGAAAAACAAAACTCCGAGTGCTCCCAATAGGATTGGAACTTACGACGTCCCGCTTGGTACTTCGTATGCCCTACTAGTTAGCTAAAGCTGACTCATGTCAGGCCAGGCTGCTTAAGGGGATTTCTCAGTTTTGTACTGTGCACCTCATACTGCGCATAAAAATCCCGTAATCAAGCAGGTGAATAAGCGCACGCGCATTCCGACAACATGGTATTATTTTTCAAACAATGGACACGTAAAAAGGTTTGATGGTCGTTAGCTCTTGAACTAGCGTAATTATCCCCTTTAAATTAGAGACATTTTAAAAAAAATCATCGAAGGAAAAAAAATAGTAGCTTAAAGCGTGCACGAAGCCTGTTATTCGATGTTGCAAATTATGACCTAGAAAGCAACGACTCGAGGCAAGTTTGAATTGCGTGTTTTCTTTACTTAAAAGATATATAAAATTGTTCAAAAGACTCCATACTTTTTATCGTAAAACATCCATGCTTCTAACTACCGATGAAATGACGCTCGACGCTCGTCATCAGTGCCATTACAGGCAAAAAATGGGAAACGTTTGGTCCATCACATCTCTTATTCAAGTACAGTAGCATATCTTTTTTTATAGCACTTGTCTACGAGTATCCCTCTGTCATTCAGTAGAACACCATTTTTCAACCATAGAAAGCCTTACGCTTGTTGGGTGAGAGCCAAGCTATTACATTGACCTCTTAGCACAAATATACTAATTTAATGACTCTTATTTCCTCAGGTTTTTAAGTTTTAATAGACTCGCAAATATTTCAAGACAAACGTTTGCCGGGCTAAAAGGTCTAACGATGCTGTATGTAGTTCATTCTTATAAATTAGAGATAACTAGAGAGTAGAAAATGTCCATTTACATTATTTTCGTGGGGCCCCGCCTCGTAATCAATCAAATGCATCAGCTAGGCTGTTTTGAAGATGGCGTTGTCTGTTGTCGACTTTTTAGCACATTTGTAGACAATTCTTTTTTCTTTAATGATGATATTGCTGCTATTACTGTTTTTTTTTTGTTTGTTTTTTTTTCGTTTTGTGAAATTTCGATCTTACTTTCTTTTGTTTTCAAGGATGCTTACAGGCAACAATCTGACCTGTATTCGTAAAGACACTTTTGCTGAAACTTCTTTGGAACTGTTGTAAGTTTTCTAATATGACCGTGTCTATGTGTTGGTATCTATCATAGCACTGTTCCTGTTTCGATCAAAATACTTCTTTCAAACCAGAGCATGTGAAATTTAAGAAACAAGTGTTACTGGGGAAGTCGTACAGCTCTGGCACTATCAAACAGTAAGAAAAAAAAATGCTACACTTTTCTTTAATTGTAATTGTATTTTCTCTGATCATCTATGCGAAGGTTCCTTCAAGGAAACAGAATAAAGCATATCGAGGGAAACGCTTTTCGTTACCTCAACAGTCTGGAAATATTGTGAGTTGTTTAGCAATTCAAATTATCTGATTTTATTAAGCATTGTAAGGTTTTTGAAGTTAAACATTAATCATAATCACCTTTAAACCCATTGAGGCACGAGATACCTGGGCCTATGTTAGGCTGTTAATTTAACTCTCTAACATTTTGGCCCGTTTATAGGACGCTGTTTGCCAATCCCATTGAACTACTTCAAAATGATACGTTCAAAGGAGTATCCACCAATGTCCGACTGTAAGTATATACATCGTTCAGTTTCTACGAACGATACATGGTTAATTGGTCTTAATTTAGCAGGGCGAACGGTGCGATAAAATTAAAAGCTGCTTTTAATGCAATATCCCCCGTTGTTTTTTTCTGAATAATATTTAGGTGACAAATTACTTCTTAATGTTGGCGCGAAACTTCAGCGTTAATTTTTAATGTTACATGTGAAATTACAAAATTGCCATGGTAACATCTCTTGTATCTCGATCAGAGCCAACATGGCGTCGAGATTTAAGACGGTGACCCTTGAAGAAGTTACGAAATTAAAAGAAGCGGCCGAAAGTTTAAATACGCGAAAGAGCACAATTAACTGGGTGCGAGTTTTTGAGAAGTGGTGTGACGAAAATAGCTTTGAGAAAAACCTGGAGATGATTCTTCTCGAGTAGTTGGATAAAGTACTCGAGCGATTTTACGCCTCCGTGTGTAAACAAGACCTAATTTGTCACCCACGATATTAAAAGGTAATCAAATGGTTTTATCGTGAAATTAGGAAATAATTTCACTTGCGTTTTGTCAAAATTCTGATAATTTCCCTCGCCTAAAGCTCTGGAAATTATTAGAATTTTAACAAAACGCAAGTGAAATTATTTCTTAATCTCACTCGTCGCCATTTGATTACTCATACTAATATCCCATGCGAATTCGTGCTAACCCAGGGCTGTGATCTAGTAACAACCGGTGGCCTCTGGCGACTTGCTTTTGCCCTTGTGCGACTGTGCAATCTATTTTTTTTCATGAAAAGGACGTCCTGGATTTAACAGTGTAAGAGCATCGGGCTTCCTTCGAGTTTTCTTTGAGCACAGTCTTGCAACGACTGTAAAATGATTTCGAATTGACCACTGGTTTGTTTTTNAAATTAAAAGAAGCGGCCGAAAGTTTAAATACGCGAAAGAGCACAATTAACTGGGTGCGAGTTTTTGAGAAGTGGTGTGACGAAAATAGCTTTGAGAAAAACCTGGAGATGATTCTTCTCGAGTATTTGGATAAAGTACTCGAGCGATTTTACGCCTCCGTGTGTAAACAAGACCTAATTTGTCACCCACGATATTAAAAGGTAATCAAATGGTTTTATCGTGAAATTAGGAAATAATTTCACTTGCGTTTTGTCAAAATTCTGATAATTTCCCTCGCCTAAAGCTCGGGAAATTATTAGAATTTTAACAAAACGCAAGTGAAATTATTTCTTAATCTCACTCGTCGCCATTTGATTACTCATACTAATATCCCATGCGAATTCGTGCTAACCCAGGGCTGTGATCTAGTAACAACCGGTGGCCTCTGGCGACTTGCTTTTGCCCTTGTGCGACTGTGCAATCTATTTTTTTTTTCATGAAAAGGACGTCCTGGATTTAACAGTGTAACAGCATCGGGCTTCCTTCGAGTTTTCTTTGAGCACAGTCTTGCAACGACTGTAAAATGATTTCGAATTGACCACTGGTTTGTTTTTTGAGTCTGTCAGAAAATTCAAGCTGAGCATCATGACGAAATCGTCTATCATAATCATCAGACTAAAAAATGAGACTCGAGTCCTTCCTAACCTCGTCTACTCGGTTCGCAGTGAAATTCACGGGTCGTTACTTTCCCTCCTATGCTCAATGATCAGTGCGGTCGAAGGAGAAAAACCCCACTGGAAAAAACCTCGGTCGATAACTTACAGAACGGGCCACTAGGAGGGATATTAATGAAAGCTATCGATTACTGTTGGAAGAATCAAGGCATTTTTGTTCCGGTTCAGTTTACAACTTCCAAACTCACCACCACTTTTAGACGATAAACATAAGTTGTCAAGAACCTGAACGTATTTCAATCTTGGAAACTCTTAGAGTATCCCAATTTCTACGTGTCTGTTGCCTCAAAGTTTGCATTCTTCGTTCAGCAAAATTAAAACATTACTCAAAGGCTATCCCTGTCCTGACCTTTACTGGAACCAAGTTTTCCTCTGCAACTAAGAAGCCAAGTTTGCCGAGCTTTAAAGCAGACCTTTAAACTAGTCCATAGTTTCCCCTTCTCAGTTACTAAGAATCTCTTTGATGGGCAGATGGTGCTCTACCTAATAAGGCTAAATATCATCTGAGGATTTTGAATGTTTCAATGCTTTCTCATTGCAGGCTTATTTCGTGTAAAAACCTTCGCAAGATTCTACCAAAGATGCACAACCCTTTAATGTGAGTAACTTATCGCAGTTGGGGATTTTCCGGCCCTGCACGCGCCATCGCGTATCTACTTAGGATTTTTAAATGAAAATATTTCATAAAAGCGCGTAAAGAGCCTTACGGATCAAAGGGGCCAAAATACAAAAAAGAAGTCATAAAAAAACATCAACAACTACCATATTATATATAAGTTGAATAAACAGAAGAAGAAGCGAACTTTTCTCTTGCGGCCTTTAATACGTGTAAGTTTCGCCCATTCGGGCTTCCTCAGCACTACATATCAATATGAAGTAAAATTTACAAGCACAGCAAAAGTCTTAAATACGTGGAATAAAGATGTTTTACATCAAAATCTCATAAGAGTAATACGATGATAAGGATAATAGAAATTAAAACTACATGCTAAAATGTAACAATAAAATAATCAATTCCGGTAATGAGGTGGTGTTAATTATACCCAATTCTTCTCCTAGAATTGAACTCTCACCTTTTATTGTGACCATGTGGTTTGAGGGTACATAGCTGAGCAAACCAAAACACCTATAAGAAGACGATCGTCCATGCTATTATTACTAGCATTAGAGTCACGTAACTGTTCGATAATTAAAAGTTCGAAATCTGCTTATATATGAGATTCTTTGTGTAACTGCAGTAATCGTAACCTCCCAACACCACGATGATAAAGACGATTTATTGGGTATGTGAGTTGAAACTTAAAACAATAAATGAATACGATATCACAACAATTGACTAGTAAAAGTGACAGGAAAGAAATACACTGAACGAACAGAACAAACTTGAAATGACAATACTTACATTGTTACGATTTCTACGAAACTGCTGGACGAATATAAACTGCCCAAAGGCGAAAATAAGATAAACTGGAGTACTGCTCAAAGCTAACTGCTGTATGACTAACGGAAGGCTAAACTCTGAACTTGAGAAAAACTAATTTATATATGCGAAAACGACTAGCTAACTTAAAGTGCAATTAGCACCTATATTACGAAAGAAACT